AATCCTCGCTCTCCTCTCACCCTCCTCCATCAAGCAGGTCCTGGTGTCTATTGTTCCCTTCTCTGTGTCCCTGTGTACTCAATGTTTAGCTGCCACTTATGAGGAGAACGTGTGGTATTTGGCTTTGTGTTCCTGCATTAATAAGCTTAGGATAATGGACTCTACCTGCATCTATGTTGCTACAAAGGATGTGATTTTTTATTGCTGTGTAGTATTCCATGGTGTATACACACCACATTTTCTTTATCCAGTCCGTCATTCGTGGGTGTCTAGGTTGGTTCCACATTTTCGCTATTGTGAATAACACTGTGATGAATGTGAGTGCCTTTTTTTTTGGCAGAATGATTTATCTTCCTTTGGGTATATGCCCAATAGTGGGATTACTGGGTCAAATACTTCTCCTCTAAGTTCATAGAGAAATTTCCAAACTATTTTCCACAGTGGCTGTGCTTATTTACATTCCCACCATCAGCCTGTGAGTGTCCTCTTTTACTCCACAACCTCACCGACGTGTTATTTTTTGACTTTTTAATAATGGTCATTCTGACAGGTGAGAGATGGTATCTCAATGTGGTTTTAATTTGCATTCCTCTAATGATTAGTGGTGTTGAGCTTATTTTTCATATGCTTGTTGGCTGCATGTATGCCTTCTTTTGAGCAGTGTCTGTTCATGCCCTTTGCCCATTTTTAAATGGAGTTGTTTTTCACCTATTGGTTTGTATAAGTTTCTTATAGATTCTGAGTATTAGACCTTTGCTGAATGCATAGTTTATGAATATCTTCTCATTTTGTAGGTTGTCTGTTTACTCTGTTGATATTTTCTTTTCCTGTGCAGAAGCTCTTTAGTTTATTTTTAAGTTTTGTTTATTTTTATTTTTTGCCATTGCCCAGGCTGGAGGGCAGTGGTATGATCATAAGCTCACTGCAGACTTGATCTCCCAAGATCAAGAAATCCTCCCACCTTAGCCTACAGAATAGCTGGGACTATAGGCATGTGCCACTCCACCCAGCTGATTTACATTTTCTTTTTTCATTCTTAGTAGAGACAGGGTCTCACTGTGTTTCCCAGGCTGTTCTCAAATTCTTGAGCTCGAGCAATCTTCCTGCCTTGGCCTCCCAAAGTGCTGGGATGACAGGCATGGTCCACTGCATCTGGCCAGAAGCTCTTTAGTTTTAGGTCCTACTTGTCTGTATTTGTTTTTGTTGCAATTGCTTTTGGAGACTTCATTATGAAATCTTTGCCAAGGCCTATGTTACCAATGATGTTCCCTAGGTTTTCTATTAGGGTTTTTATAGTTTTAGGTTTTATATTTAAGTCTTTAATCCATTTGTATATGGTGAAAGGAAGGGATCTAGGTTCAATCTTCTGCATATGGCTAGCCTGTTATCCCAGCACCATTCAGTGAATAGAGAGTCCTTCCCCATTGCTTGTTATTGTCAACTTTGTGGAAAATCAGATGGTTGTAGGCATATGGCTTTATTTCTGAGTTCATTAACCTGTTCCATTAGTCTGTGTGTCTGTTTTTGTACCAGTACCATGCTATTTTGGTTACTGTAGCCTTGTAGTGTAGTTTGAAGCTGGGTAACATGATACCTCAGGTAATGTGATGCCTTTGTTCTTTTTGCTTAGGATTATTTTGAATATTTGGGCTCTTTTTTGGTTCCATATGAATTTTAGAATAGTTTCTTATAATTCTGTAAAAAGTGACATTGGTAGTTTGATAGAAATAGCATTCAATCTGTAAATTGCTTTGAGCAGAATGGCCATTATAATGATATTGATTCTTCCTGTACATGAGCATAAAATATTTTTTCCATTGGTTCATGTTGTCTCTGATTTCTTTTAGCAGTATTGTGTAATTCTCATTGTAGTGATCTCTCACCTCCCTGGTTAGCTGTATTACTCTTCTTTTTGTGGCTATTGTGGGTGTGATTACAGTCTTGATTTGGTTCTCAGCTTGGACATTATTGGTGTACAGAAATAAAACTGATTTTTGTACATTGATTTTGTATCCTGAAACTTTACTGAAATTGTTTATGAGTTTTAGGACCTTTTGGGCAGAGATTAGGGGGTTTTCTAGGTATAGAATCTTATTGTCTGCAAAGAGAGATAGTTTGACTTCCTCTCTTCCTATTTGGATGCCTTTGATTTCTTTCTCTTGCCTGATTGATCTGGGTAGGAATTCCAGTACTAAATTGGTGAGAGTGGGCATCCTTATCTTGTTCCAGTTCTCAAGGGGACTGCTTCCAGCTTTTGTGCATTCAGTATGATGTGGGGTTTGTCATAGAGGGCTCTCATTATGTTGAAGTATGTTCCTTTGATACTTAGTTTATTAAGCTACTAGTTCATGAAGGGATATTGAATATATATATATATTTTAACATGAAGGGATATTGAATATTATCAAAAGCCTTTTCTGTGTCTATTGAGATGTGTTTTTTGTTTTTGGTTCTGTTTATGTGATGAATCAATTTATTGATTTGCATATGTTGAAACAACCTTAAATCCCAGGAATACATTCTGCTTGATCGTGGTATATTATATTTTTGATGTGCTGTTGGATTCAGTTGGCCAGCATTTTGTTGAGGATTTTTGTGCCTATGTTCATCAGGGATGTTGGCCTGAAGTTTCCTTTTTTCATTGTATCTCTGACAGAATTTGGTATAAGAATGTTGCTGGCCTTATAGAATGAGTTAGGGAGGAGTTCTTTTCCTTAGCTTTTTGGAATAATTTCAGTAGGATTGGTACCAGCTCCCTCATTGTATGTCTGGTAGAATTTGGCTATAAATCTTTCTGGTCCAGGGATTTTTCTGGTTGGTAGGTTTTGTTAATTACTGATTGTCTTGGAACTTATTATGGTCTGTTCCTGATTTCAATTTCTTCCTAGTTCAATCTTGGAAACTCATATGTTTCCAGGAATTTACCCATTTCTTCTAGGTTTTCTAGTTTGTATATATAGAATTATTCACAATAGTCTCCAATTTTTTTTGTGTTTCTGTGGAGTTAATGGTACATCACTTTTGTCATTTCCGATTGTGTTTATTTGGATCTTCTCTCTCTCTCTTTCATTTTATTTATTTATTTATTTTTGAGATGGAGTCTCACTCTGTCTCCTTGGCTGGAGTGCAATATTGTGATTTCAGCTCACTGAAACCTCTACCTCCAGTGTTCAAGCGATTTTCCTGCCTCAGCCTTCCTAGGAGCTGGGATTACAGGTACCCACCACCATACCTGGCTAATTTTTGTATTTTTAGTAGAGTCACGGGTTTTGCCATGTTGGCCAGGCTGGTCTCCAATGCCTGACCTCAGGTGATCTGCCCACCTTGGCCTCCCAAAGTGCTGGGATTATAGGTGTGAGCCACCATGCCTGGCCCAAGGTAGATTTTAGAGGCAGATACATAGAGTAGAAAATGCTCTTGTCTGGGACCCAGAAGGCCTCTCTTTTTCTTTATTAATATAGCTAGCAGTGTGTAAATCTTGTTTATTCTTTCACAAAATCAACTTTTGGTTTTGTTGATCATGTGTATAGATTTTTGCATCTCAGTTTCATTCAATTCAACCCTGAGTTTGGTTATTTATTGTCTTCTGCTGGCTTTGTGTTGGTTTGCTCTTGTTTTTCTAGTTTCTCTAGGTATGATGTTAGGTTGTTAATTTGAGATATTTCTAATTTCTTTGTGTAGGCATAAAAACTTTCTTCTTAATGCTGCTTTGGATGTGTCCCAGAAAGTCTGGTGTGTTATATCTTTGTTTTCATTAGTTTCAAATAATTTTTTTATTTCTGCCTTGAGTTTTTTTTTTTTTTTTTTTTTTTTTTTTAGTACATTCAACTTTGAATTGATTCATCTTTTTCCCTTAAAAAGCTGAGACATTGGCCGGGCACGGTGGCTCAAGCCTGTAATCCCAGCACTTTGGGAGGCCAAGGCGGGTGGATCACGAGGTCAACAGATCGAGACCATCCTGGTCAACATGGTGAAACCCCGTCTCTACTAAAAATACAAAAAATTAGCTGGGCATGGTGGCGTGTGCCTGTAATCCCAGCTACTAAGGAGGCTGAGGCAGGAGAATTGCCTGAGCCCAGAAGGTGGAGGCTGCGGTGAGCCGAGATCGCGCCATTGCACTCCAGCCTGAGTAACAAGAGTGGAACTCTGTCTCAAAAAAAAAAAAAAAAAAAAGCTGAGATATCCCAAAAGAAAAAATAATTTCTTGCTCTGTGTCCCAGGCTAGAGTACAGTGATATGATCGTGCCTAACTGTACCTCCCACCTCAGCCTCCTGAGTAGTTGGGACTACAGGCATGTATCATGCCTGGCTAATCAAAAAATTTTTTTGTAGAGATGGGGCTTTGCTATGTTGCCCAGGCTGCTCTTGAACTCCTGAGCTCAAGTGATCCTCCCATCTCAGCCTCCCAAAATGCTGGTATTATAAGTATGAGCAACTGAGCCTGGCTTTTTAAGTCAGCAGGGTCTTAAGCAAATTTAAGTAGCATGTTTAAACACCCCTCCCCCTACTGCCCAGAGGGATTTAGGGCTCAATATTAAAACTAAATTTGGCTTTTAAAAAGGTATAAGTAAAAAACTACTCATCTGAGCCATATGTATAATTTTTGTATTTCTACATATATCAAATAATAAATATAAAAGATACAAAAGGAAGGACCCGGTGCGGTGGCTAAAGCCTGTAATCCCAGCACTTTGGGAGGCCGAGGTGGGTGGATCACGAGGTCAAGAGATCGAGACCATCCTGGTTAACATGATGCAACCCCGTCTCTACTAAAAATACAAAAAATTAGCTGGGCACGGTGTAAGGAGGCTGAGGCAGGAGAATTGCCTGAACCCAGGAGGCGGAGGTTGCGGTGAGCTGAGATCGTGCCATTGCACTCCAGCCTGGGTAACAAGAGCAAAAGTCCGTCTCAAAAAAAAAAAAAAAAAGATACAAAAGGATTAGTAGGGTGAGGGCAAAATAATACAACATAGTATTAAGAGGAATCAAAAAGCGGGTATAGTATTTGCCATAAATGCCTTCTCAGTTATCAATTGGACTTCAGTTTTGGCTCTGAACTTCTTTGCAGCTAGATGGGAGAACACAATTAGTCGCGGGTGTCATGTGTTTATAAGGTGAAAGAAAAATACTTGCTGTGGAGGAGGTTTCTGGACACTGAAGATGGGGAGACCATGAGGTGCTGAGTAATGCAGTAGGCAAATACCACCTGTGGGAAGCAACACGATGGGAATTTGTTAATTTTTTCAAGAAATAGTTACAGAATGTGCACATTATGCTTATCGTGCAGGGGCTGGGGATGTGCAGTGGACTGGTGTTTATGTCCCTTCGGCAGATTCATATATTGAAACCTAACCCCCAACTGCAAGGTTTGAGCGGAGAGTTCTGGGGACGTCAGATAGGGCCTGCCAGGAGGAGAAACTTGAGCTGGTTCCTGTAGGATCAGGAACAACCGCGATAACAAAGGCAAACACTTGGTGCTTACTTTGTCTATTCAAGGAACTATTGTAAACACTTTACCATCTAGTGTGTTGGTTAGCTTATTTTAGTATTCACAACAGCGCTGTGAAGAAGGTGGTACTCTTATAGCCCCCATTCTACAGATGAGGAAACTGAGGCACAGGTAAGTCAGGCATCGTGCTGTGGATCCCCTACCTGGTAAGCAACGGCAAGCAATGGAGCCCCCTTCCACTCTGCCTTGAGGGAATGGACTTCTGCTCGTCCTTCCAGTCTTCTCTGGGAGAGGTCTCCTGATTTCCAAGATGAGGCTGAGTTTGCATGCTGTACTTGCCCTGCAGAAGTTACCACATTACATGATTACAAATTTATCTATGTACGTTATTCATTCAGTTTGTTCAATTATTTATAAATAATTTTTTCAAGAAATAGTTATAGAACGTGCCCATTATGCTTATCATGCAGGGGCTTACTATATAATTAATTGTTATATGTTATGTTATTTATTACATGTAAATAAGTTATTTAATGTCCATTTCTCCCTGCAGACTGTAGTATCCATTAGGGCAGAAACTATTCATGCATTTTCTCACTATTTGATCGCTGGTGCAAGAGTTTGGCACATGTAAGGTGCTCATTACATACTTTTTAAGTGAATAGAGCCAGGATACGGCTTGAGCTCTATGAGGAATTCTTGGTAGAAACTTAAGGTGGCCGAGAAAGACAGTGGGCATGGGTTTGGAGATATGTTAGGACAGTCCTTCTGCAGATCATACCATCTATGTGGATTCCTCTGTTTTGTTGTTATTGTTTGCCTTAAAATAAACTCTGACCAGAATTACCCACCCAGTAAGGTAGGCTGTGTGCCCTTCTGGGGCAGGAGCAAGAAAAAGTGAAGGAGAGTTAGAAGTGCCACTTCTCCTTTTATGATAGCGTGCTGAACCAGTATAGCAGTGCACAATATGCCGGGACACATTTTTATGTCTTACTTTTCTTTTCCTCCCTGAGTCTCTAAGAGACAGAGGCAGAGAGGACTGCATGCTGGGAGGCAGCTTGTGTTACATTTTCCTTTGTTCCCTGTTTCCCATTTTTGGAAGGGCCCTCACAGCTTAGGGCAGGAGAGGGTGAGGGAGGCTCCCACTGCCGGTCTTGCTGCAGGGATGGCGGGGATGGGAACCCATTTTGCTTTAGTCTTTTGACATCATGTCACTCTTCCTCTGTATCCTAAGCTGCTGTCTCCCAGTTTCTATTTCCAGGGGGGAGGATGGTAGCTGAGTCTATATTTGATGGGATTTTCTGCTTGTCTTTGTCACATTTGACTCAGTGCAGGTGAGTTAATTAGACACGTTAAACAATCTGGAAACTGGCAACTGGAGTTTTGTGGCCTTTGCTACTTCTGTACCCCCGAGGCTGCCAGGGATAATGTGGCTGTTTTGAGCTCAGCTCCTCCTATCATTTGCATGATAAGGAACTTGGCTTCTCCCAGGAAGAAGTAGCTAAGCAAAGAGTTTACTGCATGGTCCCTTACCCAGAATGCCCCTACTAGTTTTCCGAGTCATTTACTTGTTCATTGAGTAGATGTTTATTGAGTGCCTTCTAGGTGCATAGGTCTATGATAACAAGCACTTAAGAAAATAAAAAGGGGTTATATTAAAATCATGGACAGTTGTTACCGGGGAGTTGATAAGAGAGGTGGAGTTCTAGTTGAACTTCTAAACATGGATAGGATTTTGATGAGGGGTAGATTTGGGTGGAGGGGGAGATGCTAGAATTCTGGAATTCTAAGTGGAGGTGACTGGGCGAGCAAAGGCCAGAATAAAGACATATTTGGGGTCTGGCAAATGAATCAATATTACTGTAGCAAAGAGTTCATATGGTATTTGTGGTGGCAGGGAGATGTGTTCGGAGATGGATGTTGGGGTTAAAGAGTAGGAATGCTTTGAAGGGTATGTGGGAGCCATCAAAGGTTTTACAGCAGGGATGAAATAGGATAAAACTTAAATTTCAGGAAGCATCTTCTAAAAAGTAATTATCTTCTGGAGGATAAATTAAAGGAAGAGAAATAGAAAGCAAGGAGACCAGTTCAATTCAAGTCCGTCATATTAACTAACATTTCAATAATGTTTACTGTGTAGCAGGCACTGTTCTATACACTTCACATTCGTTACATCGTTTAATCTTCACAATAATCCTCTGACATTGGTACTATTATAATTCCTGTGCTACAGTACAAAAAAGAATGCATAATGAGGTTAAATAACTTGCCCAAGTCATACAGCCAATGAACAAAACAATGAGTGGGCATTTGTACTCAGGCAGCCTGGCTCCAGCATTCCATACTTTCAATAATGCCCTATCCCTTCTCTAACAATGTGCAGGAGCTGCTAGCAGCATAGAAACATAAATGAAATGCACATAGTTTAGTCCATCACTTAGTTAATTTTGGTAATTCAGACGACGATTAAGATTTTAACTATAGTGAGGGTAATAGAAATGGATAAAAGGGAATAATTGACAGAACTTAGTACTAGACTTGTTGTGGGGTTTGGAGCCACTTACAGTTTAGAAGCTTGGACTGATCCTTCAATTTACTCATTTGTAATATGGGTGTAATTATAATGACAGAGATCTAGCTTCTGGCCAAGATGGAACAGAAAGGACAGTATTGAACTTCCCGCTGGAAAGAACCAAGTATCACATGTGATATATGAGATAAGAGTTTGCAAGATCTTGAACATTAGGCCCAAAAGGGAAGTAGTCTTTGAGAGATGGCAAGCACATGAGGTGAACTCTATGATTGTCCTACTTACTGTCTTGAGAGAGATTCCATGCTGCGTCGCAAGGAATAGAAACCCAGGTAGATTCCAGGAGACTTCCTGAATTGAGGAGACAAAGCTGAGAGCCCAGGGAGACCAAACAGATTAGAGTTCACAGGACAGAGTTACAGACAGGAGAGACGTGTACAGAGAGAGAACTCTAGAGATTTGCAGAGGGTCCCTTTTAAGTATTCAGCTGAATGCTTATAAATGCATGTATGTGAGCAAACTTCCCTGGGGAAAAACTGCCTGATAGGATTAGAGGTAAAAGTGCCCAGACTTCACACAGGGACATAATTAGTACCTATTCTCAGTAGGCAAACTGGAAACCTCAAGATTCAAGGACTTTTGGTAGTATACACAGAAAGGTCTTCTTTAGTAGGGGGGAAAATTATCTCTAGAGCAAATATTAGTTTTGTTCAGCAAAACAAATTTTAAAAGCAAGACAAAAAAGGACTGAAGTGTTTCCAAGTAATTACATCTCAAAACAAGGCTCACAAATATTTATGGGGAAACAATTTCCAGCATCCAATAAAGTAAAATTCACAATGTCTACCATCTAGTCAAAAATTACCAGGTATGTGAAGGAGCAGGAAAATACACCTATAATGAGGAGGTAAGTCTATCAGAATTGAGGCAAATGTAAGAATTAACAGACAAGCACATTAAAATCGTTACTATTACTGTATTAAATGTGTTCAAAAAGTTAAGTAGAGACATGGGAAATAAACAGAGGCCAAGTCCAGCTTCTAAAAATGAAAACTACAACATGTGAAATGAAAAATACATTGGATGAGAGGAATGATAGGTTGGACTCTGCAAAAGGAATGTTTAGTGAACTTAAAGTCATAGCAATAAAAATATGTAAAATAAGACAAAGGAAAAGGGATGTGTTTTAAAAAAGGACAGAGAATTAGTAAGCTGTGGAACAACTTTGGGCGGCCTAATATACATTTGGAATCCACAAAGGAGAGAAGAGACAGAAAGGAGAGAAAAAAATATTTGAAGAAACAATGGCTGAAAATTTCCAAATGTAGACTCTGGGATCTCTTTTATAGGAAGGCCAATGTGTGAGATAAAAATCATGAGTGTCATGAGGGCTGTACCCTTATGATATAATCTCCCCCCAAAGGCCTCACCTCCTAATAGCAGATTCATGATTCGGTGTCAACATATGAATTTGAGGGGGACAGAAACATTTAGATCAAAGTGCATGATAAAGAGAAAATCTTAGCAGTCAGAGAAGAAGCACACATTATGGACAGAGGAACAGAGACAAGGATGACAGCAGGTTTCTTTTGGAAACAATACAGATGAGAAGGCAGTGCCAACATCTTTAAAGTGCGAGGAGAATGAAACTCCTATCAACCTAGAATTTTATGTCCAGGGAAAATATCCTTCAAAAATGGAAGAAAAAGAAAAACTCTTTTAGTCATACAAAACCTGAAAGAATTCATTACCAGCAGAACCACACTGCAAGAAATATTAAAGGAAGTCTGTCAGGCAGAAGGAATAAGAAACCAGATAGAATTCTGGGTCTATAAAAAGGAATGAACACCACCACAAATGGTTACTAAGTGAATAGGATTTTTTCTTATATAAATCTCTTTAAAAGAAAATGTACTATTTAAGTAAAGCAGTAACAATGTAGTACGTGGTTTATAATATATGTAAAAGTCAAAGGCATAACAGAACTAGAACAAAAGTTGGGAGGGGAGAAATGGAAACGTACTAGCGTGAGGTTCTTATATCTGAAGTGATATGCTGTCACTTGAAGGTAGACTGTCACAAGGTAAATATATATTTAGCATAAATATACATATTTAATATATCACTTATTTAAATATAAATTTATATTTAAATATTTAGTAAATATATATTTACCTTATGTATATACCTTAGACTGTCATAAAGTAAATATATATTTAGCATAAATATACATATTTAATATATCACTTATTTAAATATAAATTTATACTTAAATATTTAGTAAATATATATTTACCTTATGTATATACCTTAGACTGTCATAAGGTAAATATATATTTAGCATAAATATACATATTTAATATATCACTTATTTAAATATAAATTTATACTTAAATATTTAGTAAATATATATTTACCTTATGTATATACCTTAGACTGTCATAAGGTAAATATATATATTTTGCATAAATATACATATTTAATACATCACTTGAAGGTAGACTGTCATAAGGTGCATATATATATCATAAGGTAAATATATATGTTTACTATATATTTAAATGTATATTTAATATATATACTATAAATCTTAAATCAACCATTAAAATAGCAAAGAGTTATAGCTAATAAGCCAATAATGGAAATAAAATACAAAATATTCAGTTTATCCAAAAGAAGGCAGAAAAAGAGGAAAATCTTTATCAATAAATATCACAGTTGGAAGAGATATTATTGGATGAAACAGGACCCAACTACATCCTGCCTACAAGACACATACTGCAAATAATAAAGACACAAACTTTATAGTA